TAAGAAGTGATGTTGTCTAATGCCCATTACTTTTGGTGAATCGATAAAATGAAAAATGTTTGAGTTGATGATGAAATAACATATGAGAAACTAAAGTGGGATTTTGAATTGAAAATGAAATAGCATCAGGGACTAAATTGGGATTTCCCCATGAGTCATTTGTATCAAAAGTTGGAGTTCCAGGATAGTCCATTGATAACGTCTTATGCTTTAGAGGCCCAGCAAGAACATTGCAAACCCCACATCATGCCTAGTTACATCCTAAGGTAACATAATATTTTTGTGCATGACACACGTGAAAGGGGGAGAAGAGCAGCTAAAATGGCCATCTGTGAATCTGGTAAACTAACTTTTCTACTTTTATTTAAGGTCTTTGTCACTTGTCAGGCTTGTCTTGGTCCGGTGGTGATGTCTTTTGCTGACCTGGCATTTCCCTGTCCTTTTTCTCAGGCTTTTTTTATTCTTTTATATCTCTCGCTTCTCGTCATTGAACATAGTATCCTAAATTACCATTCCTCTGCCGCTACTTGCCAAAATTTCAACCTAAAAGAGAGAGGGCCCCACGGCCCTCTCTCCCTCAAAACCGGACATCGTAGGTACTTGTACTTTTTCAAATGCTAATTCACATTGTACATGTCGGTCTAAACTGCCCTTCTCAATTTCCAATTAGAAGCTGCTCGTTTCTCCTTACGCTTCCCTTGAAAATTTCATTTCAATTCTAGGGTCCATATCCTATTTCTATAATAAGCAAATAGCCCCATTGTCCCTCTCAATTATTTTAGGGTAAGCTATATTTTTGCCTCTATGAATACATCAATATTCCACATCTACTCATAATGTTTGAAATTTCTCAATCTTACCCTTATTATTTTCTATAGTTCCAATTTTACCCTTTACTACCATCCAATAAGTGTGAAGCACGAACACAAATATGCAATAAAGTATTCTTTTAATTATAATATTCAAAATATTTTTTTGAAAGTAAGTAAAATTAGCAATGTAAAATCATTATAAACAATAATCATATATAATCAATTAAGTGTAAAATATATGATGCAATTATAAATAAATTGGACATCTAAATATTAAATTATATTGAAAATATTTTGATCATCATGAAAGGATTAACCATAATTCCATTTTTTGTAGTCTTTTTTTTTCTTATTATTTTCAAAGAAACATAATAAAAGATTGTTTTAATTTAATACTTGAGATAAATCTAAAATAAAAATATCATCATACCATCAATCATAATATTTTATTAATTCATATTATTAAAAAATATAAATTATAAATAATTAATTGAATAACGTTGAAGTTCTATTTAACTTGAATTTTTTTAATTCATAAAACTTAAATCTATAAATGGATTTTTTTTCTTTTGAAAGATAAAATCAAATTTAACTCGAAATTGAATCACACCCGTATCTTTTATGTATCATTATCGCATTTTTTAAGTTTCATTTTATGCCTTTTGCATATTTGAAATTGAATTTGTTAAATTTTTTGACAATTTTATCTTATCTCAACGCATCCGATATTTATTGGATAATATCAAAACATGTCTATGTTCGATGAGAGTTTAATAAAATATGATTTATTTTTTGAAATATTCGTATTTCTTTGTTAATAAATAACAAAAAGGTAACATTTTATCATATATTTTTTTCCTCCTAAATCCTCATTTATGTTATAATATCTCACAAGACACTTTAAAACTCAACAAAACTTAAAAATAAAATTCAAAAAGTGAGATTTCTTTAATTCGAAAATAAAAGATATTTTCGAACCAACTTGTGTATTAATAGAGCCTAAATTTTTTAGAACGATCTTAAATATGTTAAAAAAAATTAAGTTATTTAATAGTTAGGAGTGATGTGGGAACTTTTTGGAAACTAAAAGAAAACATTGGAAAATTTTAAAAGTTAGGGGTAGAAGTAGAATATTGGTGCACTTATAGGGGCGAAAATGAAGTTTACCGATTGCACGACTTCACAGGCCTCCTAGGCCATGCTGCCCTACTATTTCAACTGAAAAGACATGACTGCCACTAAAGTACAATATTGGAAAGCAGCATAATGACTTCACCTAGTTTCTCTCTTATTCGGCAAAAGAAAAAAAAGAAAAAGCCTCTCTACAGTGATTCTCTGATATAAAATTTGTCTTTAAACAGCTTTCCAAATTTCAAACTCTTTCTATCTCTAAACTGTGACTGCTACCATTTATATTCCCCAAAAAAGATGTCTTTTTTTTGGATTTTGATTGAAAACGGAAAGATTTTTTTATGCAAAAAGAGTTGTGCTTTCTTGGCTAAGAAAATCGTTTGAAGCAGTGGAGATTCTCACGCAAAGTTTAGAATTTTCTTGGTGGGTTTTGGTGTTTGTCTCAAAAGATTAAAAGGGTTTTCCTTATTTTTTATTTTTTTGCTTTGGATAAGATCAAGAAGGAGATGAGCAGGAATCTTTTTTGGTTGTGAAAATTGATTGGAGATGTCACGATTGTGAAGTTTGACTCTCTTTTTTGCTTTGGTTTGGCTTTTCGGCTGAGCTTGATTAGGGTTTTATGTTGGGTAAGTATTTAAGGTATCCGTCTGTTATTTTGTTGTTTTCAAGATCATAATATTTTTGTCGGGTCTATACTGTATATTTGTTGTCTTCTAGTATCCGGTTCATTTGTTTTAAAATTAGTTGATGATTGCTTGATGCTGAAGTTCAGGTTTTGAGCTTGAATTTGTGGAAATTTAGTGGGAATGTTGTTCAGGTAGTGATTATCTGAATTAGAAAGTTACGTTTGCATAATAGGATTTTTTATTTTTATTTTTGCGTTGTTGGAATTTAATTTTCAAAAAGTAATGGATTAATTGAATGTTATTGGGGTCTGATTCATCTAGAATTGATAAAGATTAATTTTGTAAGCTCCGTCCTACTAGTTTTGGTTTATAGTTTGTTAGAAGCCCTACAATGTTCCTGCTTTTTCCTTAATGGCAAAGGAAACGCAATGTTATATGTTGCAATGCTTGCAACAAATTTGTGAGAGATGAAGCATCAGCATCACTTAGAATTGAAAGGGAAAAACACAGTTTAACAAGAAGAGAATGTTAACAATGCTGGAAGGATTAAATAAGTTACAGGTACGGGGGCATTGGAAGAAAAGGGTGAGAAGAATTAGGTTCAGAAAACTCTTGGATTTTTTGAGAAGTTCCTTTGTTGGCAACTTAGGTCGTATTTATTGTTGTAGATGACTTATCTCGTCTATTGGCTAGATGTATCACTCCTGTGCGTAAATTCAATTTCCATTTAATGTTCTGAAATTGTTCCATCATTGATTAATTTTATTTTTTTTATTGTCTTTTTTACTTTTTGAGAAAATTAAGGTGGTATTCTTGGGGAAATGATGGTTTCCTGCCGTTGGTGGTTCAGTTCTTCCGCTTTTTTTCTTTCAGGCCTTTCATTGACAATCTTGTTTCCTGGATCTCTGTAGTTAAGCCAGGCTTCAGAGGAGATTGAGGTCTCATCATAGGAGAGAGCATTTTATATGGTAGAAATTCAAGGCATAATTAGCAGTTATGCGATCTTCTTTTTATGCCCATCTCAATTTTTAAGGCTTAGGTTTAGTAAAAAGTCAAACTGGTTTTATGTGGTTTTTTTTTTTTTTTTTTTAAACCTAGGTTATGATTTAATATTCATCCCATTGGTACAATTTAGCTGGGAAAGAACATGGGAGGCTCTGTTGTCTGCACTTTGTATGTTTCAGTTAGGTTTTAACTACTGTTGCATAAAGGCCTGTTAACTTCTGGAGGTTTGCCATGCCAGAGCAGGTGCACATAAAGTTAGCAAATTTTTAAGAGCTTATAACACCCATTTCTGTTAGATTAAATAGGTGCACGTCTGTAGAAACTTGGTACCCTGCAATTTGTACAATGACACTGTTTTGCATTGCAAAGTTACTACTAAGAATGCAGCTTAGTCATTGTCAATTGCTTTGATCGTATTCATGCTTTGTCTGGTTTGTAATTTTCCCTTGTTTTAAGGTCAAGTAGCCTCTAGTTGAACAAGAACTTGGGTCACTTTTGTTGAAAGTGAATGAATCCCAGCTCTAATTTGTTGTGCCTGTCCTGTGTGTTTGTCACTCAGGAATAGCTATCATGTGTGGCTAGGGGATAACTCTCATAATACAAGTTTTGAAGATAGCCTTAATGACTTTCAAATTAAAAAGAAAGAAATATCACTTAGCTTCTTTTCATATATGATTTGCTTTCTTGACAGGAGGTCCTGTTATGAATTTGGCAAAAGGCTTGATTTGATGTTTGTGATTCTGGTTACCCAAACTGTTATCTGGTTGTGTCGTGTTTTTAGATAGCTGTGTAGTTTTCAAGATCTCGATGATAGAGCATTTTTTGTATATACATAATTAATGGGAGAGAAGATGGTGAGGAAAAGTGATTTCATTCAAATACTGCTAGATTGGTAGTCCCTGGGGTAATCATTGATTTTGAAAGTCATTTGATTGTGCTGTTTAGGATTGAGAGGGCATCTGTAGACTATGAAGTATAAATCAGGCAAAGGAACATAATTGCTGTGGGTAATGGGATGAAGTTGTTCTATGGTGCTATTTGGTTTGTCTCCATACTTGATTTGCAACTTTTCTAGGTTGAAGAACAGAAGTCTGAGTTTGGGTTGCATATCTCCCTAATATTTCTTCCTCATAGCCTTGTAAGATGCATGTGGCCCTTTACTTTTTGTAAGTTTGGGGTTTGTGCAGTACATCTTTCCATGAGTTTCATTTATATATGTCCTGTGAAGTTACAAAATTAATAACATCCCGGTATAGCAGGTTCATAAACTATCTTCCCAGACACGTTTTCATTGTTGTGAACTCAAGATTATAATCCTTTAACATGTCTGTTTCTTTCTCTGTAGCAGTTATAAATGTTTGTCTTTTATTTGTTTTTAACAGGTGGATTTTTTTAGAAATCAGAGGAAATAAATTAATAAAGCAATATGGGTGCAAAAGAACACGAAAATGGAACTGACTCTCCTAAAGTAGAGGTGGGAGAGATAGACACCAGGGCACCATTTCAATCTGTCAAAGATGCTGTCACCCTCTTTGGTGAAGGTGCTTTCTCAGGGGAAAAACCTGCCATCAGAAAGGCAAAACCTCAATCTGCTGAGGTAATAGTAATTCCTCTGTTTTGGCTCTCAACAGTAGTGGTTTTCTGAAACTTGATCTATTGTACCTTCCACTGCCTAAATTTTACTGTAGATATGTGATGTATATGATGCTATTTTTCCTTCAAATATCTTTCTTCTTGTATGGATCAATGAACAATCAGCAAGCAATGTTTAGTATTTCTAACAAATAGATTGAGATGAGTAAGTTTTTTGTAGCTTGGAGTAACACGATGGCAGTACTAGTATTGTTCTCAAAACAATGGTTTGATTAAACCTTACAAATAGTTTTGAGTTATTCATCATGATAGTCTAGGCACAATTCTCAATTTTTTTCCTCATTCAATTTGCTTTCATCTCTAAGGTTATAAATAGTAAAAAAAAAAAATCATTTATCTCTTCCTACTGCTGCTAAAGATAATGAATGTGTAAATTAAAATTGTTGGATGAAAAAAATAATTGATAGTCATTCTGATTATATTTCTTACACATCTACTATGAATTTTTTATGTGCATATATTGTATATTGAGTGTTGCTCTTGTTCGCACAAGTGACTAACTTATTGTTTCTTTACTGCAGAGGGTGTTGGCCAAGGAGACACAGCTTCACCTGGCCCAAAAGGAATTGAACAAATTAAAGGATCAATTAAAGAATGCTGAAACAACTAAGACCCAAGGACTTGTAGAGCTTGAAAAGGCTAAAAGAACAGTAGAGGATCTTGCTGATAAACTCAAAACTGTTACTGAATCAAAGGAGTCAGCAATTAGGGAAACAGAAGCTGCAAAAAATCAGGCAAAGCAAATTGAAGAAACAAACAAAGGCAACCTTCCCGGATCTGATGGTGCAAGGAAACAGGACTTGGAATCTACAAGGGAACAGTACATGACCATATTTACTGAACTTGATGCTGCAAAGCAAGAGCTAAGAAAAATTCGTCAGGAGTGTGATGCATCCTTGGAAGCGAAGCTTGCTGCCTTCAACCAAGCTGCAAAAGCTGAACATGAAGCCAAAGAAAATGTGGAAAAAGTTAGTGAGCTCTCCAAGGAAATCTCAGCCCTTCAGGAATCAATTGGGCAAGTGAAGCTTGTGGCTCTGGAAGCACACCAAGAGCAAGCAAAAATATTTGCTAAAAAAGATGATCTGAGGCAGTCATATAAAGCTACCCTGGAAGCATCAGCAAATAAACTTCTGACATTGAAGAATGATTTTGATCCTGAACTGGCCCCAAATCTTGAAAAACAACTTGCTGAAACAATGAATGAGATTGATGCTCTGCAAAAGCAGATGGAAAATGCCAAGGCTTCAGATCTGGACTCTGTGAGAACTGTTACTTCAGAGCTTGATGATGCTAAGGAGTCCCTACAAAAAGTAGCAGAAGAGGAAAACTCCTTGCGAAGCTTGTTGGAATCTCTTAATCTTGAGTTGGAGAATGTGAAGAAGGAGCATTCTCAACTGAAGGAGACGGAGGCAGAAACAGAATCAATTGCTGGGAACCTGCATGTCAAGCTCCGCAAAAGTAAGTCTGAGCTGGAAGCAGCAGTTGCAGAGGAATCCAAAATGAACGGTGCTTCTGAAGAGATGATCTCTACTCTCCAGCAGCTATCATCAGAAGCAGTGAGTGCACGACAAGAAACTGAAGAGATGAAGAGCAAAGCTGAAGAGTTGAAGAACATAGCTGAAGCCACCAGGATTGCACTAGAAGAAGCTGAGAAGAAGTTGAGGGTTGCTTTGGAAGAAGTTGAAGAAGCAAAAACAGCAGAAACTAGGGCCCTTGATCAAATCAAGGCATTGTCTGAGCGAACTAATGCTGCTCGTGCCTCAACTTCTGAGTTTGGTGCCAAGATCACAATATCAAGGGAAGAGTTTGAGGCTTTGAGCCGGAAAGTCGAGGAGTCTGACACATTGGCAGAAATGAAAGTGGGTGCTGCTGTGGCACAAGTAGAAGCTGTAAAGGCTAGTGAAAATGAGGCTCTCAAGAGGTTAGAGGCAATGCAGAAGGAGATTGAGGATATGAGGGCTGCAACTGAGGATGCTTCGAAGAGAGCTGAGATGGCTGAAGCAGCCAAGAGGGCGGTGGAGGGAGAACTTCGAAGGTGGCGTGAACGAGAGCAAAAGAAGGCTGCTGAAACTGCATCACGAATTCTGGCAGAAACACAAATGGCTTCAGAATCATCCCCACACCATTATAGGATTCAAAAGCAGAACCCAGCAATTCAGACTGTAATCGAGGTTCGGAAGTTGGATAAAGAGAAGCTTAGTGTTTCGAAAAAGGCACTTCTACCTAATCTGAGTGGTATCTTCTATAGAAAAAAGAACCAAGTTGAAGGTGGGTCTCCTTCTTTTCTGCCTGGAGAGAAGCCGGTGTGACACTTGTGTTTACCAGACTGATTATGAATGGTTGAAGAACCATTTCATAAAATGGTTGGTTGTGTATAAAATTTTCCTGAGGAAAACCAAAGTCGAATTGTCTCTTCTTCTCAGTTTGAGGGGATGAGATTGGTTATAATATGATGGAACAAGTCAGGGACGTGTGCATTTTGTATATGTTGCTAGTTATTAGATTAATGATTGAGCAAGTTCTGTAGTAGTGTAGTATAAAACGAGTGTTTATCTTTAATATTAGACTCTTTAAGTTGCTGTGATAAAAAAGCTGGGTACCTTCATTCGAGGCATGTTTTTCCAGATTTCCATTTCTAGTGAAAATCTGCTCATCAATTGTCCTTAGATAGGAAGTTGTACTCGCCCTTTTTAACCTTTCAATTGGAGAACCTCCCTTCCTCTTCTACGGAAAGAAATGATGAAAAAGGGGCACAAATTCTAGCCAATTCTGTTCTCCATCTCTACAGAAATGCACTATTCTGTCTGCTCAATTCGTCTACTACACAATCATCACTGTCATAGTATTAAATTGCGAACTTCATATGGTTTTTATTGCCAACTTCATATGGTTTTTATTGTGGACTGTGACTCACTATAATGCTAAAATAACGATAATAAAATATTTTAAAATCTCGAAATTGTTATGTCATGATTGTTATATATCATCACGAATAACAACAACAATGAATGTTATTTAATCTATGATCACTATCCTGTTTGGTCTACATGGCATCAATATTCTGCTCTATAAATCATAACGTATGAGTTTGATCAATGGGAACAAAATCACCTAAGAGTGACTGATTTTCTTGGGTTCACGGAATGAGTTTTCCATTTCCTTCCATGAATGAAATCATATAAATTTTAGAAAAGAAAAAACAAGAAGAAGTTGCTAAGCACGTGCATAATATCGGCATGTAAAGTACAAACATTGACTGCTTTATCAAGTTTCTTCCTCTCTACAAATCGATGCAACCATCCACCCAAAATAGCGATAGCTGGAAGAATGCTTACAACCTTACTTCATCCGATTCAAAATGTAGGCCTACATAAATTTTCAATACGTTCAGATTGTGGGCCCTAATAAATCTTTAATTGGTTCATAGAAATCACATAGGAATTTTATTTAAAAAAAAAATTGAGTTTTTGTATTTATATTTAACGAAGTCCGTGATTGAAATTTATTTTCGCTCACTAGAGACTCACTTACGTAGACAACACATCATTTCCTAATAGATGTATATATTCATTGCAACTTTCAACTAGCAGATACGACTCCTACTACTTATATGGACACACCATTTTTCAATATATGCATATATTCATCGCTAACTCTTGACTAACAAATACAACTCTCTTACATTATAACTCTTTACTAATATACACTATTCTTGTAAATAGATATAGGTCATGAATAGATACAATTTTTGTGAATAAATATAAATTGTAAATAGACACAATTCTTATCTTACAAGAAACTATCGGTAAAAACTCATAATAATATTTAAATAAGTCTTATTAAAATATATAGTACTATCCTATTTTTAAAAGATTAACTAAAAAACTAAAGTAAAACATTCATTAACTGTAGATTCACTATTTGAAACAATATGCACATACTCATATTTCACTATTCATTCTCTCACATTTTAATTTTTTTACGCTTTGGTCCTTGATATTTTCGAACGCATATTTCGTTCCACATGTTCATTTACTCATCCATTTTGGTCCCCGAGTGGAGAGAGAAGCCCGAGAGAAAGAGAGAGACAAGAGGTGAGAGAGATTGTCGGTCAAGCTTATTTAGGCCATTCGACTAGGTAAAAATCCACTAGATCTTTTTATCTTTGAGAAATGAGTTTGTCCATGGTGGTTTCAAGCTATTAAAAAATTAAATGAGGTACCTCGAAGCCAAAAAAGAAAAAAAAATGCGATTTGATTTTGTATTTTTTTTTGTGTGTATTAAAATAATTTTTAAAGTTTTAGATGTATTTATTGACTTTATTTTAGTCATTTAGAGGTATTTGAGAAAAAAAAAATGATCCCGAAATTCAATTTCGAAGGGTCTAAAAGTTGACTCTCGATTTTCCAGGTAAATCTTCCAACGACTTCGAGTTCCTCGGAAGTTGTAGGGGTTTTTTTTTTTTTTTTTTTGAGCTACGGCAAGGCATGGCACACGGGCCTACCTACACAAGCCAACCAAGCGTGGCCTCTCTCTCTCTCTCTCTCTCTATATATATATATATATATATATATAAAAGAAGGAAAAAATTAAAGAAAAAAGTCCGCAAACAAAAAAAAGTGAAAAATATAAAAAATAAATAGATTTTTTTAGCTTTCCATACGAGTTTAAAGATGGTTTTATTGTTTAAATTTCATTTTTTTAATTTTTAATTTCTTTTTAAAATTCACACCAAAATATTTTTTTGATATAATTTTATTTATTAATAAATATTTTTTTTAATATATGAATTTTGAGATGAAATTTTAGAACGTCAATTTTTTATTTTTTTAAATATATTATTATAGTTTATACAATCATTTTGTTTTTACTTTTTGAATGAGTTTTTAATTTTTTAAACATATGTGTGTGTGTGTGTGTAGACAGAGAGAGAGTATATATCTAATTATATTAATTATATTGTTTAATTTTATTTTTTCAATTATTTATTTTTTATTAAAATTCACATCAAATTAAATTTTTTATATGATTTTATTTGTTAATAAATTTAATTTTTTAATATATGAATTTTGAATTAAAATTTTAAGATATTAGTGTTTTATTTTTTAAAACATATTATTATAATTTATACAATAAATCATGCGTGTTTCTTGTTTTTTCCTTTATATATATGTGTGTGTGTGTGTGTGTGTGTGTGTGTGTGTGTGTGGAATTAGTGTAAAAAACATAAAAATAAATCGTTATAATTTTTAGATGATAGAATATACATAATACTTTTTTAGATTTTAGTTTGAACATATATATATGATTATATTACCTTTATTGTTTAAAAATTATTTTTTAATTATTTATTTCTTATTAAAATGCTCATCATGTTTATTTTTTATATGATTTTATTTCTTAATAAATTTAGTTTTTTAATATATGAAATTTAGAATAAAAATTTAAAACATCAGTCTTCTATTTTAAAAAATATATTATTATAATTTATACAATAAATTCTTCTTTTGCTTTTTAAATGAGTTTTTATATTTTAAAATATATTGTTATAAATTATAAATTCAGAAAGAGAGAGAGAGAGAGAGAGAGAGAGCTAAAAGTATGTTTTAGATAGTTTGAATTATTTTTTAAAAAAAATTAATAATCGATTAAAAGAATTCACGGGTTTTATTTGCTTTTTATATTTATATATTTATTAAGAATTTATCGAAATCAATTTTATTATAGTTTTTATTTTGATATGTTGAAATCAATATTTTTCATACAATTTAGGTGTTATATATATATATATATATATATATATATATATATATATATATATATATATATATATATATATTGATATTTATGTGTGTGTGTGTGTGTGTGTATGTGTGTATCATTAATTTTATTAGACATTAACTATATATCTACACATATAATATCGATTATGTTTTTACTCATTTTTTAATATTTTAAAATTTATTTTTTAATAAAATAAGTTGATAATGTTTTGAAAGAGTCGCTTAATTATTTAAATACAAATTTTCATGCTAATATTATTAAATATTTTGTTAATAAATATATATAGATCAAACGATTTCACTTAATATATAAATTTTATTTACATAAATCACTAGAAATAAAACTTTTGCTCATACTACATCATATGAATAGTTAATTTTACCTATGAAATGGTTGTTTTAACACACCGTAGCATGAGTATCTTATATGTTTTTTTTTTCAATTTCAAACTTTAATTGTATTGTGATTTAGTCACATTTTATCTTAGTGTTTTTCATAATTATTTTTATTATTTTAAATTTGCTACTTTGAATTGTCATTTTTCTTTTAAATTCTCATCAAATTACTTTAAAATTATATGGCTCTCAAATTTTCTATACAATTATTTTTTAAATTTTAAACTCTAATTGTATTGTGATTTAGCCCCTTTTTTTTTAATTTTTTTATTATTTTTATTATTTAAAATCTATAACTTTAATGTCATTTTTTTTCAAATTCTCATCCAATTAATTTAAAATTATATGGTCCTTAATTTTTTTTTAATTTTAAACTTTGATCGTATTGTAATTTGATCCCATTTTGTTTGTGTTTTTTTTATTATTTAAAATTTACAACTTTAATTTTTATTTTTTAAAATTCTCATCCATTTAATTTCAAATTACATTAAAAAATTTAAAATATTTTTTCATCTTTGATTTCATATATTTTTATGCATTCGTACCATAAAACGTACTATCAAACTAAAATAATTTTTCTAAATAATTTTATATATTTTATCCAACCTATCGCGTAGCGTTGGCAAAAAATCTAGTATATACTATTACGAGAAAAAAAAATCGACCAATCTCATTAACTCTATGAATTAATTTTTATGCAATCCTATCATGTATTATCATTTTTTCTTCTACATCTCTAAAAACCATTTTTTACTATTCATGGTCCAAAATCCTCTTTGAATGTAAATATATTATAAGAATATTTTATTTAATTAATAAATAAACATTTATTAAATGTGAGTAATGAAAGTTTATACTTGTATCGAGGATAAAATAAATACAAGTATGATTATAATTTATTATACACACTTAAGTATTATTATTAAGTGTGTTTGTTAGGTGTAGGTGATGTTTGGTATTGGTTGAATTATATGAATATGTTTGAGTGTTGATTTGTGAATTATGACATTCGATTGGAGTGAAAATATGGAGTGTGGAAATGTGGACGAGCATGCCGAAGAAAAATCATAGTAGTACGGGGACAAGCAAAGGGGCTACTAACCGAGGGAAAAATAACGAGTTGTGGATAG